AGAATTAAGTAATCACATTCAAGTTCATGTTAAATAGGAGTCAGTACACACTTGCCATCATGTAAAGTGCCTCTGATTAAACCAAAATAAAGTTCAGCCATTCTAGCAGGTCTTTCCTGGCATTTCCTTAGTCGCATCCTACACGAAAAGCCATGGTCCACAGAGAGCTTCTAAAGCATCAGAGGGATCTCATTATTAAAAGGCATCAGTCAGGAGAATGGTACAAAAGAATTTCCAAGACATTAGATATACCCTGGAACACAGTGAAGACAGTCATCAAGTGGAGAAAGTAGCTGCAGGAATATCTGGCAAGTACTGGCTGTGTGGCATATGTGACAACAATCTCCCGTATTCTTCATATGTCTGGGCTATGGGGTAGAGTGGCAAGATGGAAGCCTTTTCTTACGAAGAAAAACATCCAAGCCCAGCTAATTCTGCAAAAACACATCTGAAGTCTGCCAAAATCATGTGGGAAAATGTGTTATGGTCTGATGAAACCAAGGTTGAACTTTTTGGCCATAATTTCAAAAGATATGTTTGGCGCAAAAAACAACACTACACATCACCAAAAGAACACCATACCAACAGTGAAGCATGGCGGTGGCAGCATCATGCTTTGGGGCTGTTTTTCTTCAGCTTGGACTCGGGCCTTAGTCAAGGTAGATGGAATTATGAACATTTCTAAATACCATTCAATATTGGCACAAAACCTTCAGGCTTCTGCTAGAAAGCTGAACACGAAGAGGAACTCCATCTTTCAGCATGACAATGACCCAAAACATACAGTTGTGTTCAAAATAATAGCAGTCAGACATCACTAACCTGATCAATCACTGTTTTTGGTAGAAATGATATTTCTACATGGCAAATAATTTACTAGCAGGTGTAGTAGAGTAATAGAAATCCAACAGAGCCAACAGTCATGACATGCATGCTGCTGATTCTGTGTAATTGAATCACTAATTGAAAGGGGCATGTTCAAAATAATAGCAGTGTGGAGTTCTATTAGTGAGGTCATTCATTCTTTGAAAAACAGGTGGCAATTATTGCCCTTATTTAAGGAAGGAAGGCAGCAAATGTTGTACATGCTGATTACAGTGCATTTCTCTCTGAAATTCTGAGGAAAATGGGTCGTTCCAGACATTGTTCAGAAGAACAGTGTACCTTGGAACATATAAAGAAGTGCAGAAAATGATAGGCTGCTCAGCTAAAATGATCGCAAATTCTTTAAAATGGCATCCAAAACCTGGAAGACAGCGAAAAACTACCATTTGAATGGATAGAAGAGGAGTAGCCAAAATGGCAAGGACTCAGCCAACAATCAGCTCCAGGAAGATCAAAGAAGGTCTAAAGTTACCTGTGAGTACTGCTACAATTAGAAGATGCCTATGTGAAGCCAAGCTATCTGCAAGAAGCCCCCGCAAAGTCCCACTGTTGAAAAAAAAAGACGTGCTGAAGAGGTTACAATTTGCCAAAGAGCACATTGACTGGCCTAAAGAGAAATGGCGCGACATTTTGTGGACTGATGAAAGTAAGATTGTTCTTTTTGGGTCTAGTGGCCGGAGACAGTTTGTCAGACGACCCCCAAACACTGAATTCAAGCCACAGTACACTGTGAAGACAGTGAAGCATGGTTGCGCAAGCATCATGATATGGGGATGTTTCTCATACTACGGTGTTGGGCCTATTTATATCGCATACCAGGGATCATGGATCAGTTTGAATATATCAGAATACTTGAAGAGGTCATGCTGCCTTATGCTGAAGAGGAAATGTCCTTGAAATGGGTGTTCCAACAAGACAACGACCCCAAACACACCAGTAAACGTGCAACATCTTGGTTCCAGACCAACAAGATTGATGTTATGGAGTGGCCAGCCCAATCCCCGGATCTTAATCCAATAGAAAACTTATGGGGTGACATCAAAAATGCAGTTTCTGAGGCAAAACCAAGAAATAGAGAAGAACTGTGGAATGTAGTCCAATCATCCTGGGCTGGAATACCTGTTCACAGGTGCCAGAAGTTGGGTGACTCCATGCAACACAGATGTACAGCAGTTCTCAGAAACAGTGCGACTACAACCAAATATTAATTGATTCAAAGGAAAGCAAAATCTTCAAACATTTCTCAGTTTATATAGTGAATGTTTGAGTTTGTAAAGAAGAATACAAACACTGCTATTTTTTTGAACAGTCTAATATTCACTTTTCTTCAATTGTTTTAGAGGAACAACACAAATTTGATATATTTTTCTTCATGTTTTGATTTGGAATAGAATGTGTAGTGTTCCCAATGCATTTGTGTGTATGGAAATAAAAGCTATTAGAAGGATTTTGAGCTTTATTCACTTTTTTCAACACACTGCTATTATTTTGAACACAACTGTACATCCAAATCATAAAGGAATGGCTTCATCAGAAGAAGATTAAAATTTTGGAATGACCCAGCCAGAGCCCAGACCTGAATCCGATCGAAAATCTGTGGGGTGATCTGAAGAGGGCTGTGCACAGGAGATGCCCTCGCAATCTGACAGATTTGGGGTGTTTTTTGCAAGGAAGAGTGGGCAAATATTGCCAAGTCAAGATGTGCCATGCTGATAGACTCATACCCAAAAAGACTGAGTGCTGTAATAAAATCAAAAGGTGCTTCAACAAAGTATTAGTTTAAGGGTGTGCACACTTATGCAACCATATTATTTTAGTTTTTTTATTTTTACTTCCCTCCACCTAAAGGATTTCAGTTTGTAGTTCAACTGAGCTGTACAGTTTATAGGTTACATTAAAAGGTGGAGAAAGTTCTGAAATAATTTATCTTCGTCTCATGTTTTACAGAAACTTGACATTTAACAGGGGTGTGTAGACTTTTTATATCCACTGTTCGGATCAGTGCGGAAGTTGGAAATCATTGTAGTAGTCATTGCTGCTACAGTGATTGCTGCTAACTTCTGGGTCCCCTGCCAAATGGCTGCCCTGCTGCTTAGTGAACACAGCAGGTCGCTGGCTTGGCACGGTACCATTCAGAGAACAGTTTGCACTTCCTCAATGAATGAAACGTGTAGGGGTGGACTGACCATTTGCAAACTCGGGCACTGCCCGAGGGCCTGGGGTCCGTAGGGGGCCCCATGAGATGCCCCTGGTACCTTTTTCATAGGCTTTTTTGAGTTTGGGCAAGGACACAGGGGCCCCATGATCCCCTATTGCCCGGGGGCCCCCATGAGTTGTCAGTCTGCCCCTGGAAACGTGTTCTCTTGTTGGAGAGGGAGAACATGACCTTGTCCTTTAAAAACAAATTACTTAAAAGATGGATTTTTAAATCACAAAAGTCAGTACTGTAAATTGTCATTTTCCCTGGCTTGTCCTTGTGTGGTCTTATGTTTGTTGGCCTGCTACCAAATATTAGTTTGATAATTATGTATTATCCTGGCCCCCCACCAACCACAAAAATCCAAAACACCAAGCCAGCTAATAAGTGTGGTATTAATTAAATGTCATTACCAAAATGAAGGCCAAGGAACTTCTATGTAGGTCTGTGAACAAATGTGTTGTCAAAGATGAAGGGTCGTGAGCTGACCTTTCTGCCAGTGGTAACACATGGAAGCCGCTGATCAGAGCACAGGACTCGGGAGTTCTTGTTTATACAGCCTGGACTGAAGACAGATTTACAGCTCAAGGCCACTTACAGCCAGAGGCTAATGGTCAGCATGAACCGCTCTCCGGGAACATCTGTGTTGGTGAATGAAGAGACCATGTGCTTCGGAGGGAGCATTTCATTTCTTTCAACAGCAACAGGAAATTGGGATAAACCTTTGCATTTGTCAAGACAAGCTACTGCTAGCTATGGCCACAGTGATGCTGGTCAAGGAGAACTGAACAGTGGATGTGCTGCAAAGGGGCTGGCGCTTTAGTAACTCCTTTAACTATGGATCTTATAGTAAGAACAATTGAATATGTCAGGATTAAAATGTGATACTGTGACAATCGAGTATGATTGACTTTGGTACTTACTATTCTCCTTCACAGTGCACACAGAGAAGTGTAAGGCTTGATTATTATAGGTACTTATATACCCCATCAATTTATACAGTGCTTTACATATATATTGTATAATAACATTCACATTCAGTCCCTAACCCTCAAAGAGGCAATCTAAGGTCCCCAACACACATTCACAGATACACATACTAGGGCCAATTTAGACAGGTGCCAATTAACCTACGAACATGTCTTTGGAGTGTGGGAGGAAACCCACACAGTCACAGGGAGCGCATGCAAACTCCACACAAGTAGTGCCGTGGTTGGGATTCAAACTAAGCAACCCTAGTGCTGCTAGGCAGAAGTGCTCACCGCTTAGCCACTGTGCTGCCCTATTCGCACAATTAAAATACTATCTACGCTAGATCTTTCTGCAAGGGGCAGGCAGAAAACTCCAGTGTAAAAAAATGCTCATTTTGGCATGTAATTGCAAATGTTTATAGGTGTATGGTGTTTAGAAGTCTGTGCACATAAACTCATTTTATTTATTTTTATTCTAATAGACTGAATTTACATGGGTAAAAGTATTCTAGTAAGCTCATGCAGGGGTTGGGCAATTGTTCATTCAAATGCCACAATGTTCATGGATACATGGCTAAAATCACACGCTGCATTCAGAGGCATAAAAAAAATAAAAATAAGAATGTCTCTAAAATTAGCATTTTTTTCATTCTTTGCTTGTGTGCATAAGACATCCTATACATCAGGCATTATGCACCACTCCACTTCAGCAAAGTTTTTGGAGTAGATATACCAAACTAGCACATATTAAAGGTTACTGAACCCACAACAGTAAAATCAGTCTGTATATGCAGTAAAGCATGCTGGTTATACTCACTGTGGAACCTAAGGAGTTAATCTTCTGTATTGTGTAAAAATGCTGTTTGATCCTGTCTTCTCTGATCCCCTTCTTCCAATGTCCTCCTCTTATCTCCTGATAAGACATATCGTGTGGAGACACTCTGCACATGCTCAGTTTGGTGTGTATTGGTAGAAAGGTTTTTTTTCTTAGGAGAGTGCATGTGATTAGCACAGGGCCAATCAGCATTGTCCAGGCAGAGGTCAGGGGTCCTGCATTCTCCTAGAGTAAAATGAAAACTCCTCTCCTGATAAGACATATTGTGTGGAAACACTCTGCACATGCTCAGTTTGGTGTGTATTGCTAGGTTTTCTTTCTTGGGAGAGTGCATGTGATTAGCACAGGGCCAATCACCATTGTCCAGGCTGAGGACAGGGGTCTTGCATTCTCCTAGAGTAAAATGAAAACTCCTTCCACAAGCTTTAACATGTGCTCTGCTGGACACTGATAGAAGTCACAAGACTGCTCTAACTGCTGATGAGAAAAGGTATTTAGCAGTTTATATTTACTAAAATAATTGCATTTCCATGTTCTGTGTCCTGTGGGAGACCAGATATAGTGAATGCACGGTCCTGGGTTTAGTAGCACTTTAAATTGTCATAAAACCTGAATGGGCCTTTGTTCTGATCAAAAGCCCTGCTGTATTTTTAACCTTGTCATAAGAAAAATCTATAAACTACCATGACTGATTTCCTTAAAATGCCAGCTGGCCATCATGCTGACCAACTCACTTCCAACACTTTCTGAATTACTGATCCGAAGCAAGTATTGGAGTTCTGTCTGGACTTCATTTGCTGCGTAATTAGCAGGTCAGGGAGTCAGAAAGAACTGAAGCTAAAAGGACCAGCCTGACAGCTAAGTTACTATCATCTTTCCAGAAGGCAGCAATGCCACCCCATTGATATATGCATTTTTCTTAAAAACAATTTAATGTGCTGATTTATTTTTAAACAGATAATCCAATCAATAAGGGTGAACTTTTTTTTTAGTATACTTCAAATTGTGTTACAGTTTCTATAACCACCCTCTCATAATAGGCTTACATATCCTGTAATGATGTAGATGCCAGCAGGAGGAACCACAGCATGTGGCGGAGAACAGGTTTTCTACTCACCAAGACTGCAGCAAGGGAGAAGTGAAGCGATGTGGTTCCATCACATGGGCCAACAGAAAGCCAAGTATAGGGTCTGTTGTTTAAGTACAAGTGACCCAGTGGCAACAGTCACTTTAAAATGCAAATCCAGACACAATGTAAAATCTGTGGCCTGTTCGTGGTATGCAGGGACCGGTTGAAGTTGAGAAGCACACTCAATTCAGCTTCAATCTGAAATGTACTTAAAGCAGCAACTTCACTCATTTCATTAACAAAAAAAACCTTGACAGTAAATGTTTGTTGATGTACTTGCCTTCCACACTGCAGGAGGTGACATCTCCATCCATCACCAAGACTCTGGGAATGGCATGTAGCCCAAATCTTGTGATAGAACACTCCAGCATAGTGCATTAGCATCTTCTCACAAGATTTGGGTTACACAGTATTCCCCTGAATCTCACTGAAAGGATAGTGGCTTCAGTTGTCTGCAGAAGTCCAGGAGTAAGTTAAAGTGTTTGTAAACCTGACATGAAATATGAACAAAGCATCTCTCTCTATAGTGTGTAATTGTCTCAAATAAGATCAATAAGTGTCATTTCTGTCTGCTGCTTCCTTCCTCTGTTATCATCATGAGTCACTTCTGATGAGTTTCACTGACACCAAGAGAAAATGGTGACAGGGGAGGGACCTCCAGCAGATCAGCAGACTCAAGTCTGTTTCTGTGAGCTTTGTGGAGGGGGTGTATCTTTTCCCTCCAATCAGCAATCAGAGATCTCCGCAGTGTGTAATTCCAGCTCCCTGCCTCCCTTTTTTTCTGAACTCTCAGACAAGCTTTATACATTTAGCACTTTGAATGCTTGTAGAGAAGAGAAGAATGGAGATGAACATTTACAACTTATGTAGGAGGATCTATTTCATCACCTGATCCAGTCACTTCACCTGGGTATATGTAAGGGTTTACAACCACTTTAAAAGTGTTACTAAACCCAGGACCCTGCATTCACTATATCTGGTCTCCCATGGTACACAGAACATGGAAATGCAATTATTTTAGTAAATATAAACAGCTAAATACCTTTTTTTCATCATCAGTATATAGCAGTCTTGTGACTTCTATCAGTGTCTGGCTGAGCACTGGTTAAAGCTTGTAGGAGGATGCAGAACCCCTGCTCTCTGCTTGGACAGTGCTGATCACATGCACTCTTCCAAGAAAAAAAAAAAAACAGAACAACCTCTCTGGCGATACACACCAAACTGAGCATGTACAGAGTGTCTCCGCACGATGTGTCTCATCAGGAGATAAGAGGGAGGGGGAGGCATCACTGGGAGAGGATCAGAGAAGACAGGATCAAACAGCATTTTTACACAATGCAGAGGATTAACCCCTTAGGTCCTACAGCGAGTAGAACAAGCATGTTTTACTGCATATACAGACTGATTTTACTGTTGTGGGTTTAGGAACACTAAGTATAATATTTACCATTTTTACCACTTTTTTTTTTTTTTTTTTTTACGTTTTGTGAGGTGTTTTGGCATTGGGAGAGGGCTTTGGGTAAATAAAAGGATTTTGCATTGTATTATAAATATAATACACTTTAAAGCACCCCAAAGATTCAGTACATGTCTGCAACGCATATGCATTTCTCCACGTTTTGCCTGTTCAAAAATGCTGCAACTACTGAAAAATTATTGTTGAGTTATTGCCAGAAGTTCAGAGAGCTACTGCTTGAATGTGCTGTACCTGTGTTGCACTGAACAGTCAAGCAGTGTAATCAGCCCTGCCCAGTTCTCCTCTATGGGATACAGAACATCCCCCTCCATGCTATGGAGATAAGGAGCGAGGGAGGTGTTCTATAGTCCAAATAAGGGGTAAGACGCCTATGGTGACAGCACTGCTCCTCCATACAGTACAGTGTGTGAGCGTTTTTACCACTAGCAGCCACCACATCTAAAGACTGATAAGGAGTTTGTTCCAGGGTTTAGATACATTTTATTCCCATGAAGCCATATTCAACGTGAAATTCACTGGCCTGGATCAAAGGATCTTTTTCAATTCTGTGTAACCTCCCTCTCTTGCTTCAACATTGTGAAAAAGGCTGTAGTGGGAAGAGATGGATGAATAAAACGCACTGGTTTGCATATTGACAAATTCAAATACAGGACCATTCAAAAAATGTGAGCAATGGTGACTATAGAGAAACCAGATGAGCAAATAGGATATAAATTGTTCAGATGCAAACTGTTCATGTTGGACAGGAGTGTACTGCTAATGTGTATGTGACTCGAAAGGCAAACTCCGGGAGCTCTAATCTGTGCCGTATGGAAGAAGCGCCACAGAAAGGAAGGGTAACAGACTAAACCACTTTTACCTACTAGATACCTACTAGATCCTCCTCTTTCTTGGCAGACAATGATTCCCATGTTATGGAAGTGGACTATTCGTTCACGTTCTCATGTCCAGTGCAGGGCTATAATCCCTGTATCAGTCTTGATGAGGTAAGAGGACCTTAGATTGCCAGAGAGTAAGATGGAAGAGGGTGCAGGAACCGATCTGAAGCACAGAGGAGCATGCAGGAGTGGAGGATCGGTTAAGTAAAAGTGCTTCTTCACCAAGTCTGCTAGACGAAAACAAGCAGATGACTCTTGAAGTGTGGGTGCAATCCAACTGCAAGGATCGATTTTTTTTGGGGTCCTGGAGTTAAGCTTTATTATTATTATACAGTATTTATAAAGCGCCAATAGTTCACTCAACGCTGTACATAACAAAGGGGGACAGAACAATAACAATAGAATGCAAAACATGAGGGGATTGAGGGCCCTGCTCTTTCGAGTTTACAATCTAGGAGGGAGGGGATGGTGGCACAGGAGGAGATAGCTGTGGGGGATGGGGTGGTATGAAGAGTGGAGGAGGTTGGCAAGTTAGCAGGGGGTGGGGTAGGCGTCCCTGAAGAGATGGGTTTTCAGGGTGCGCCTAAAGGAGAGGAGAGTAGGTGATAATCTGATGGGTTGGGGCAGGGAGTTCCAGAGGATGGGTGACACCCTGGAGAAGTCCTGGAGGCGGGCATGGGAGGAGGAGACCAGGGAACTAGAGAGAAGGAGGTCTTGTGAGGAGCGGAGTGTGCATGCTGGGCGGTACTTGGATATTGGGTCGGTGATGTAGTTCGGAGAAGTATGGTGGATGGCTTTGTACATCAGTGTTAGGATTTTGAATTTGATCCGTTGCGCAATCGGAAGCCAGTGGAGGGAGTGGCAGAGGGGGGTGGCGGAAACAGAGCGGTTGGAAAGGTGAATGAGTCTGGCAGCCGTATTCAGGATCGACTGAAGCGGGGATACCCAGCGGCGAGGCAGGCCAGTGAGGAGGGAGTTGCAGTAGTCGAGTCGTGATATGATGAGGGAGTGGATGAGCTGTTTAGTGGTTTCTCGGGATAGGAACGTGCGTATTTTGGCGATGTTGCGGAGGTGGAGTCTGCATGAGCTTGTTAAAGATTGGACTTGGGGCTGGAAGGATAGGTTGGAGTCCAGAATGACACCAAGTACTCTGGCCTGCGGGGTGGGTTTCATGGTGGCGTTGTTGGATGTGATGGAGAAGTCAATGGGGGGTGGTGTCCGGGCTCGGGGGAAGACAAGAAACTCGGTTTTGGAGAGGTTCAGTTTAAGGAAGTGGAGCGACATCCAGTCTGATATGTCGCTCAGTAGGTGTGTGATTCGGGCAGGGACTGAGGTGGTGAGTTGAGAGATAGATTTGTGTGTCGTTGGCATATAGGTGGTAGTTGAAGCTTTAATTCTATTCTTTTAAAATCTGGATATAAGAACAAAAGTCTAGACTGAAGTCTTTATGACATAAGCCCTCTGGTAGAATACACAAAGTTACATCATTTTTTTCCCCCCACAAGATAAACTATTACTATTGTTCTATTTAAATACTTATATTAGAATCTGACACTTTATAACCAGGAAATATTACATCACTATGTGCAATGTTCCTAATAATATGTAAACATTTGACAATTTCAAACTATGTACTGCTAACCTTGAGCCTTGGTGTTATTTACATGGAGTCAAAAACAATAAAAAAAAGAACTATAATAAAGTAAGAACTATAAAGCTTTCATTCCAGCATAAACGACTAATAAAATGAAGACAGCAAGGCCGCTTGGGTGAAAGCATTAATTTTATGTCATAAATTCTGTACCGAACAGACAATATGAAGATGTTAGCATTTCTGTACAAAAAAAAGTAGTATGGTTAGATTAAGACTTTAACCAATTCACTGCTTGATAAAAGTGTTGCCATAGTGAAGGGGTTAAAGGTGAGTATCCCATCATTACAAACAGAAAGCCAGCCGGCCTATAGCACAAATGGAAGAGTGAGCATTCGTGCCTTCTAGCTAGCTTTCTCAGAAGGCATATTTGAGTTCACCATTGATATGAACACCAAGGCATATAGTTCAGTTTAATCTGAACAATGCAAAGCCATGAGTGGA